GTGCATGGATTTTGCTGGCTCTAGCTATTGCCTTATCTGAGAAGAATAGTGTTAACACATGGGCTTCAGTTTGGGTTGTGTTAACAAGTGGTGTTTTTGCTACTTTTTGCTTTGTTGTTGTTAGACCTGGAATCTCATGGATGATAAGGAAAACACCAGAAGGACAACCTTTCAGTGAGTTCCAAATATGCTTTGTACTCACTGGTGTTATGATCTCAGCCTTCATTACAGATGTTATTGGAACACATTCTGTTTTTGGAGCTTTTATATATGGCCTTGTAATTCCAAATGGTCCACTTGGAGCTACTATAATAGAAAAACTTGAAGACTTTGTTTCAGGGCTTTTACTACCTCTCTTTTTCGCCCTTAGTGGGCTTAAGACTGATATCAGCTTAGTCAAAGGTGCAAATAGATGGTTTGGTGCACTCATGGTGGTTCCTCTTGCTTGTATTGGCAAGATCATCGGAACTCTACTTATATCGATGCTTTTCCAGATACCAACTCGTGAAGGTGTTATCCTTGGTTTACTTATGAACACTAAAGGCCTTGTTGAGATGATTGTGCTCAATGTTGGGAGGGAACAAAAGGTGCGCAATTCACTTTCAGTATCAATATTGGTTTAAATTGCAGTTGTGATTGTCGTTATAGTTATGGTTACTATGCGTTTACCACAATCGCGGATAACTGTGCAAAAATACTGTCACAATTGCAGTTGTACATAGTTGTGAAGACTACTAAAACCGCAATATTATGACTGCAACTATGGTTTAGGCATGCTAATGTTATTGTTTATATGCAGGTCTTGGGTGATGAAATATTTTCAATTATGGTGGTTGTAACACTTGTAATGACAGCACTTATTTCACCCATTGTGACATTGATTTATAAACCAAGGAAAAGGCTCATACCTTACAAAAAAAGAACAATGCAAAATTCAAGACTTGATGCAGAGTTAAGAGTGCTGGTGTGTGTTCATGTTCCTAGAAATGTACCTACAATAATTAATCTCCTTGAAGCAACTCACCCAAGCAAAAAGTCTCCAATATGTGCTTATGTGCTCCACTTAGTTGAACTCACTGGTAGAGCTTCTGCCATGCTCATTGTCCATGCCAGTAGAAAATCCGACCGACCAGCCCTGAACAAAACACAAGCACAAACAGACCACATCATCAATGCATTTCAGAACTTTGAGGAGCAAATTGGTTATGTCTCAGTCCAACCCTTGACAGCAGTTTCACCTTACTCTACAATGCATGAAGACATATGCAACTTGGCAGAAGAGAAAAGAGTATCCATCATCATAATTCCTTTCCACAAGCAACAAACAGTTGATGGAGAAATGCAAGAGACTAATCCAGCATTCAGAATGGTGAACCATAATCTAGTACAGAATTCTCCTTGTTCAGTTGGGATACTTGTTGATAGAGGCCTAAACGGATTGAACCGATTAACCGGGAGCCTCGCATCACACGAGGTAACTGTGTTATACTTTGGAGGACCAGATGATAGGGAGGCACTATCCTATGGATGGAGAATGTCAAGGCATCCAAGGGTTCATCTCACAGTGATGCATTTTATTCCAGGGATTGATGCAAAAACAGTGACACTAGCAAAAGAAGTAGATGATGAAAGAGAAATGGGTATAAATTATAGGAATGGGAGTGTGAAAGAGAATAGAATAAATGAGGAGTATATAAATGAGTTCAAGATAATGTCTGAAAATGATGAGTCAGTTGAATACATAGAGAAGGTTGTGAATAATGGAGAGGAGACAGTATCAGCAATAAGATCAATGAACAATGTGAATGATTTGTTTATAGTTGGTAGAGGTCAAGGTTCAACATCATCAGCAACACTAACAGAAGGACTAACAGATTGGAGTGAGTGTCCAGAACTTGGTGCAATTGGAGATTTGTTGGCTTCATCAGATTTTGAAACATCAGCATCAGTGTTGGTGATGCATCAATATATAGGGGAAGGGCCAGAAGGGGAAGAGGTTTATGTATCTGATAAACCATGGCATTCAAATGAAAACCATCCTTCTGTAAGACATATGTCAATGGCAACAAGATATGCACCAATGCCAATGCCAATGGCCAATCATCTTTTTTAATTATTACTTGTGTTGCAATCAAACACTACACTTCCTTTTCTTTCATTTAAACTACTCTTATATGGATTTTTAAACAAAGTTTAAGTCTAAATTTATAATTACTTGTTACAATCAAACCTTGTGTAGCGAAATTAGAGTGTGTGAGTCTAAATTATAAAGTAGCAACCTTGTAGTTGGATCTAATAGGAAGGTATATTCCCTTGTAAGATGGCTGAATTTGGAATCCAGAATGGCCCCACTAATAGAATTCTAGTTCACAGCAAAATATGTATAGTGACCAAGGATGAATGATATTTCTCACAGTGACATCAAGAGGTTACAAATACAAAGGCAAGTTTACTTAATTGATCATTATTCACAATCTTCCAAACCAAAGGTTTTATTCAAACAATACCCAAATAATGTTCTTGTTGAGATAGCCCAACACGTTAGAAGTCCAACAAATTCTCACAATGCCTTCATTATCAGACCTCTTACTGATATAATGAAATTCACATTTCTTCTGGAAAAATAAATCAGATTCTTTATAAGTAAAGTATTAGCAATTGAATTATATTTGTTTCATGATTTTTTTTTCACTTTTCCCCTAGACAGTTTTGTTTGTATAGTTAAATTTCTCTCAATTGTGTGGGGCAGTTTCCGTTATGTATGTAGCAACCAGTAGTTGTTTTTTCATATTAAAATGAGAATATATTTGTTTGTATTATTATAGTTATTTATATGTATTAGTATAGTTATTTATTTTAACATTAATATTATTTTGTAGGTTATTTAATATACACACGTTGTTGTATGGTTGTTGCATGTGCAGACAAATATAGCCATCTTTCAGTTTCCCATATTTGGATAAGTACGTTTTCTTAGTTATTTTTTATACTAATTATACAATTCAATGGTTGTTACATGTCTTCTTTTCTTTCTTCTGTCATGCAAAACTTATATATGGTATTGTCCAAATTCATGCACTTAATGTGGGTTATCTAAATATTAAAGAATATGCTTAAGTTGAGAGTTCCTGAAGAAACCTCTCTGGACATTTTCAATTATCCTGGTATCAAAATGTTGCCTTGAGCGTGTAAAATTATGAATATTCTTTGCTTTTTCACCACTCTAACTTTATTATAATGTGAACTTCCGTGAAGCAAGTTTTATTTGCTTTCATTATAAGTACTCTTCTTCTATAACATTGACTTTCAAGTTTGAAGGCTTTGGTTTCTGCTGGTATCATTATACCTAGTCTTTACATCTTCATCGTTTATCAATTTTTATTCTCAGAATTGGTATGCTTTTAACATTCATTATCCATTTCTGTATTTAGTGGAAATTCATTCAGAGATTGGAAACAACAACAAAAAAGTTCCAATGTTTTATTTCCTAGTAATATAGATGATGGTGCTACATTGAATTTCTTCTTCAAATGTTAATTTGTTTCCATTTGCAATAACTTCCTATGCTACTATTTGGGCATCGCAGTTAGTTGCATAAGGTAACTTTTTTATGACTATCAGAAACTAGAGTTATGTTTTAAGGTTAGTATTTTGAACTTGTACATATATATTGGTAGGCTATGTTCCTATATATAATATATTAGACACAAATTAAAATATTGGAGAAGACATAATGTTAGACCTCATAAATATTTTAAGGTGCCAAAAACTTGTGCATAGTCCAGTTTCTCAGTTGATAAGGTATTTGCATAAGGAACCAATTCCAGTAGCATGGAAAAAACCAAGGATTGGTTGGACCAAATTAAACTTTGATGGTTCATGCAAAGGTAAAAGTGGAAAAGCTAGCATTGGAGGAGTGGTAAGAAATCACAATGCAGAATTTTTGCTTGGGTATGCTGAATCCATAGGACAAGCAAATAGCACTATTGCTGAGCTTCTAGCACTTAGAAGAGGCCTTGAATTAGTCCTTGAAAATGGTTGGAACAATGATATTTGGTTTGAAGGAGATGCCAAAACATTGGTTCAAATTATAGTGCAAAAGAGACAAGTTAGATGCATGGAAGTAAGAAGACATATAAATCATATAAATTCAATTCTATCAGGGTTTAACAACTGCATTGTGAGTCATATATATCGTGAAGGGAATAGGGCAGCTGATAAATTTGCTCAAATGGGGCATCACTTGAATGAACCTACAATTTGGACACATATTCCTCCTCATGAAGTCTTGGCTATTATGCAACAAGATGCTCAAGGTAAAATTGCTCTTAGAAGGAAGGGATTATAGATTATAAAATATTGTACATATCATTACTAATTTTTTGGTTGTACATAGTGAATATGTTTTGTATATATCTGAATGTACATAGAAATGGAACTATTTGTTGAAAATGCAAATGACTTAGCAAAGTTTGGAGCAACTATTTCTTCAAAGTTCAAATTGCAATGACTTGTACTATTTGGGAGGCTTAATCTCATTTTCTAATTGTGATTAGTGTGTGATGGTAAAAGTGACAATTATTCTAACTGAAAGGAGGGTCTTCTCAACATTTTACACGTCAATAACTGAAAATTAAGTATATGATGATGACATAAAATTATAGGCAAGTTGTTCTTTCTATTAATTTTTTAATGGGTTCAATGAAAATGACTTGCGCTGGAAGTAATAAGGCTAATTATTTCTTATTTTACTTGAACTTGCATTATCATGTTGTTCATTTTGATAAGGGTCTTTTACCTTATTATATACAGATTTCAATAAAAGTTGTGACAGGAAACAATATAATTCTAGACCAAAAATAGTAGTACAAGATTCCATTACAGTACAACTGACCAGTACAGATAGAAAGAGCAGTACACATAATAATGATGTAGTACAAATCTGAAGGAGAGATTAGTGTTACTACATTGTCTAGCCTTGTTTTACAAGTGCTATATCATATTTATATATAACAGATGCATTAGAAAGAAAATATCAACATAAATGTATGTGGATTTCATAAAGGATTGTAAAACTCTCCACATCTAAGAAACATCATTGAGTGCAGCGTTGATGAAGTTTCGGATAGATGCCAAATGATTTTATCAACGATGCACTCAATCATGTTTTTTGGGAATGTGGTATGTAATGTCATTTAGCTTATGTTTCTCTCATTCTTCTACCTTTTCATATTCATTTGCAGGATGTCAGATTCATGCAATATACAAATTACTAAATTCCATATATAAAATCATATATACTTGTTCCAGAATGTACTAGTTTAGAAGTAACACAACAACTGAGGTTGATTGATGTGGGAATATGATGATGACAGATTCCCTTACAACACAACGCAGAGACTAGAAAATGGGCTTCATCAACAAAACTTGATGATTTTCAGCCCATGAAGTGCTCTAATTGGTAATTATACAACTAAACCCAATCTTCACTATCAGCAAATATTACTTTCATATAAATATACCATGCAATACATGGTATGCAGACTAATCAACCCTTCTATTTCTAACTTCCTCTTGTTAAAATCTAAAAGAAAAATCAAAACAGCAACAAGAACCATTACCACTACTGTATGAATCAAATAAGGCAAACCAAAATGATCCACACCAACATTGGTTCTAAAAACTTTTCACTTTATCTGAAAATATGTGACACAAGAGGAACCCAATGAATAATGTGAATTTGCTACCTCCTAATACTGAAGTTGTGAATAATTAGGAGAATATATTGCATCTAATCAACACTTGTTCTGTCTTTCTTTTATTTTCTTCCCAAATAAATACAATGCAGTCTTTTCATTTTAGGGTCTAAAAAACTGAAAACCCTTAGTTACCTCCTTCTCTTCCCACTTTCACTTTCACTTTCACTTTCTGCATCAAAATCAATCTCAATTTCAAATAACTGATTTTCTTTTATGGGAAAAAAATCAACAGAGCAAGAGGAGGAGCCTCTGCCGAACCACCTCCGTTGCAGCCGCACCGATGGCCGGAAATGGCGATGCCGGCGGAGAGTTATGGTTTGTCTGAAGCTGTGTGAGACTCACTATTTCCAAGGTCGTCGTCGCCAGAACAAGGAGAAGGTTCCTGATTCACTCAAACTTCAGAGAAAAACCTCCACCACCACCAACAACAACCAAAACGGTGTCGTTTCAGAAAACGTGGAAATTAGGGCAAAATTGATGAAGAAGAAAAAGAAGAAGAGGAAGCAGAATTCAGAAGATGCAATTGGGCCTTCGAGGAAGGAAAAAAACAAAAATGTTGATATAAGGATAGAATTACTAACAATGGTTCTGGAGAGAGAGATTCAGAAAAGGGATAAGGAGAAGAAGACAAAAAAGAAAAATCAGAAAGAGAAGGAAGAAGAAGTTGATGAAGATGAATTGCTTTACAGTGAAGAAGAGTTGAGAAGAGAATTGCCAAATGGCGTTATGGAAATTGCTCCTGCTTCTTCAATGCACATTGTGGGTTCTCATTCTGATGTTAAAGTTTCCAGCTTTGATCAGAGATCAGTTACACTTACACCTCGTTACTTCAGGTCAAGGAATGTTGACAGGAACACCAATGTAGATTTTCTCTGCTTTTTATATTCTTGATTGTCACACTACCTGTGCTAATGTTTTTTAAGGTTGTTTGTTTTCTTTTAAGCAAAGTGAGAAAATGATTCGGGTCTCTGTGTTTTAAGAAAAGGGGGGAAATGATTCAGGGTGCTTTTTTTTCAGGTTGTTTCATGTGGAAGGAACTTAAAGAAGGGTAAGAGGAAGAGGAGGTGTCATTGGTGCCAGAGTAGTGATTCATGGAATTTTATTAAGTGTTCTAACTGTGAGAAGGAGTTCTTCTGCATGGATTGCATTAAAGAACGGTTAGGACTTGTTTAGTCTGTTTACACCAATTTTTACCATGAACTTGAAACTGTTGTGATATTATCTGTGCATATACTTATTTTCATAAATATTTTCGTGTTGAATGTCCCTGCCTCATTGTTAACTGTAATATATTTTGGACAATGCTAAGAAGTTTGATTTGATCAGTTAAATACCTTGTTGGAGATTTTTCATGATGCATTTCTAGAACTCCTTAGTTGAAAGGATACCCTTTTGAATTAGTTATCAAAGTTCGTAATTCTTTCTTGTCCCTGTTATTTTGTGTTAATTTTTTGGAAACGGTAATACAACACTGATCAACAGTGATCAGTACTAAATACTAACTACTAAGATGCTTACCAGTTTGAGGTATGCAGTCTGCATCTTTGATGTTGAGGTTCAAAATATGAGACACTTGCAAATTTAATTTTTGAAAGAAATTTAGGTATTCTGAGACTCAAGATGAAGTTAAGATGGCATGTCCGGTTTGCCAGGGAACTTGCACTTGTAAAGATTGCTTTGCAAGTCAACGCAGAGACAATGAAAGTAAGGTCTGACATCAATGCTGGATGCTTTTCTGCTTGAACAGTTTTTCTTTAGTAGCACTTGCTAACACTTCAATTTTTTTTCCTTTCTTTCCAGGAATATTTGGATGGTAAAAGCAGAGTTGATAGAATATTGCATTTTCATTATTTGATCTGTATGCTTCTTCCTGTTCTAAAACAAATAAGTGAAGACCAGCAGACTGAGCTAGAAACAGAAGCAAAAGTTAATGGTAGTACATCATTTTCAGACATGGATGATTTCTGAATTACTTTTTGTTGATAACAACATGATTATCTTTGACTCTTTTGTGTGGGACAGGGAAAAGAATTTCTGATATTCTAATCAAGCAGGTTCAGTTTGGTTGCAATGAGGAAAGTTTCTGGTAAGATCTCTTCTGATGCTATTCAGTTCAAACGATTCATAGTGCTTCATGCTAACAGATGTAAGTTTGTGTAACACTTGTCTCAGCAATCACTGCAAAACAACCATTTTGGATCTTCATAGAAGTTGCATTAGATGTTCCTATAGCCTTTGCTTAAGTTGTTGTCAGGAATTTAGCCAAGGAAGCACCTCTGAAGAAATTAGCTCTTCTATGTCCAAGCTACCTGACAACAAGAACACTTGCATTGCCAGTGAAAACCACCTTTCAGATGATAAAGCCAGTTCTAGTAGCAATTTAAGTGCTATTTCAATATTGCCTGAGTGGACGAGTTGTAACGGCACTGCCAGTGTATCATGCCCTCCTACAGAGCTAGGTGGTTGTGGTGACAGCCGCCTTGATTTGAGATGTATTTTTCCATTAAGTTGGATCAAAGAGATGGAAGTAAAGGCAGAAGAAATAGTTTGCAGCTATGACTTTCCTGAAACTTTGGATAAAAAATCAAGCTGCTCACTGTGTAATGACAAAGATCATGAAACTAACGGGTATAAGCAGTTGCAAGAAGCAGCTCAAAGAGAAGATTCTAACGATAATTGCTTGTTTTATCCCACAGTTTTGGACATCAGACATGATCATTTTGAACACTTTCAGAAACACTGGGGTAAAGGTCATCCTGTAGTAGTGCGAGATGTGCTCCAAAGTACATCAAAGCTCAGTTGGGATCCACTGGTAATGTTCTGTGCTTATCTTGAGAGAAGCATTACAAGATATGAGAATGATAAGGACTCACTTGAAGCTTGTTTGGATTGGTGTGAGGTCAGTTTATCCATTAATTCTATGTTGTAATCCTTTTAAATTGATACTATTTAGTTTTGAAAAAAAGTCAGTGCTATCTTAGGAAGGTATTTCTTCAAATTAATGTATGACTTAATATAGACTAATTTTAATTTGCCTAGTTATTATTTGTTGCTAGTGGTAATTGCCATACATTGGTGCAATGGTGCTTATACACATCATATTTAAATTTCTGATTTATGTTAATAACAGTGGAGCTGTGCTTGAAATCCAAACAGAAAATGTCAATAAGTGTAGTATTATTAATTTGGGAAATCTTACTCTGTGGCAGGTGGAAATCAACATTAAGCAGTATTTTACTGGGTCTTTTAAATACCAGTCTCAGAAAAACACTTGGCATGAGATGCTGAAACTAAAGGGGTGGTTGTCTTCCCAGCTGTTCAAAGAACAGTTTCCAGCTTATTTTGCTGAAGTAATTAATGCTCTACCAGTTCGAGAATACATGAGCCCTGTGTCTTGTCTTCTGAATTTAGCTGCAAATTTGCCAAAAGAGAGTTCAAAACATGACACAGGACCATATGTCTATATTTCATATGACTGTGCTGACAAAGAAGCTGTTTCTGTGACAAAACTCTGTTACGACTCATATGATGTGGTGTGTTCCCTTGTTATATATCTTTTAACTTCTCAAATACATATTGAGTAATACTTTCTCTGAACTTTTAGTTTATATATTTATTGAAATCTAAAATGGAAAAGTGATGTATATTACTATTTTAGTATGGAATGCACTTCTTTTTTATATTTCATATAGGATCTTATTATGAAGTAATAAGCATCCTCATGTAAAGCTTCCTGCTCGGGAAGACTGATTACCCCTTGTGTGCAACGAAGACCCTGTACCTTGTATATGTGTTTGTTGCAGGTCTGTATGTGAAAAAAACACAAGTCATGCTGCACCTCTTATTCTTACAGTTGGACAAATTTTGATAGTTCTTTTTTAATAGCCTTGCTGTTCGTAGTTATATTCAACAGACTATGTTGAAAAGTAGATATTAATACCAAAAGTTACCCAATCCTTATTCAGATAATCTGCTTAATAGAAAGTCTTTCCTTAGTCCAAATAAAAACAAAACTGTTTGTGAATTTATCTAGCTTTATTTTAATATGCATTTAATATTGGTCTATTCAAAGAAAAGGAAGTATGAAGTACATGCTATCATCGTCTTTTGAGTTATTGCATACTCCAATATATGTGGGAGAGAGCTTCTCTCCTTTCAGGTATTCCTTTTTTTCTTCCCATGCTTGTTTTCCATTATGATGCATGCATGCAGTAGATGATGCTTCAAAAATACTAGACAAAAAATAGGTTTTGCTACAAAGTGTTTGTGTGAAAAATCAGTTCCTGGTTCACTTAGCAAAATAATCTTGTGCACATAAAAAGTTATGTGGTGCTGCTTACTGTGCCTTACCAGGTTAATATTATGGCACATGCCACAGATGACCCCCTGTCTGCAGAGCAGCTTACTAAAATA